CCCTATAAAAACCCTCTCCGGCAGCTGCTGGGTGCAGCTCTTCCCTCTCCCGCTCGAGTTGCCCGCAGATCCCAATAAACCTGGACTCGGCTTAACAACTCCTCGCTCTCATTTGCTTTGGGAAGGGTCTCTGCGGGTCGCACACTTTTCTTGCGATTTTTTTTTTTTTGTCGAAATTACAGTTCGTTTTGGTGCGTTCTTCGGTAGCGCTAGTTCTCTGCAAGATTTGCTTAGTGTCTGTTTCATTTCGATTTCTTTTTGTTGGGTAGAAATAGCCCATCCCCCATATCCAGGATCCCACATCCAGCAGGCCGCCTCTGGAAGTTGGTCGGCCCAACAGGACTAGCCAATCGCTTTCCCGCGTCAGCCTGCCAAAAGCCGTACACGCCCCAGCAGCCCGCCAAAACCTAGCCACTCCCCTCTGGCCACAAGGCTCTTCCCTCTTCTTCGTTTAACCTCCACCAACCATCTCCCACTCCAGCCCGCCAAAGCTAAGCCAACCCTTGCACGCCAGATATTCCCCCTCCGCCCATGTCCAACCGCCACCAATCACTCCGCAACACCTCGCCTAAACAGGCCGCCGCCCCTATAAAAACCCTCTCCGGCAGCTGCTGGGTGCAGCTCTTCCCTCTCCCGCTCGAGTTGCCCGCAGATCCCAATAAACCTGGACTCGGCTTAACAACTCCTCGCTCTCATTTGCTTTGGGAAGGGTCTCTGCGGGTCGCACACTTTTCTTGCGATTTTTTTTTTTTTTTTGTCGAAATTACAGTTCGTTTTGGTGCGTTCTTCGGTAGCGCTAGTTCTCTGCAAGATTTGCTTAGTGTCTGTTTCATTTCGATTTCTTTTTGTTGGGTAGAAATAGCCCATCCCCCATATCCAGGATCCCACATCCAGCAGGCCGCCTCTGGAAGTTGGTCGGCCCAACAGGACTAGCCAATCGCTTTCCCGCGTCAGCCTGCCAAAAGCCGTACACGCCCCAGCAGCCCGCCAAAACCTAGCCACTCCCCTCTGGCCACAAGGCTCTTCCCTCTTCTTCGTTTAACCTCCACCAACCATCTCCCACTCCAGCCCGCCAAAGCTAAGCCAACCCTTGCACGCCAGATATTCCCCCTCCGCCCATGTCCAACCGCCACCAATCACCCCGCAACACCTCGCCTAAACAGGCCGCCGCCCCTATAAAAACCCTCTCCGGCAGCTGCTGGGTGCAGCTCTTCCCTCTCCCGCTCGAGTTGCCCGCAGATCCCAATAAACCTGGACTCGGCTTAACAACTCCTCGCTCTCATTTGCTTTGGGAAGGGTCTCTGCGGGTCGCACACTTTTCTTGCGATTTTTTTTTTTTTTTGTCGAAATTACAGTTCGTTTTGGTGCGTTCTTCGGTAGCGCTAGTTCTCTGCAAGATTTGCTTAGTGTCTGTTTCATTTCGATTTCTTTTTGTTGGGTAGAAATAGCCCATCCCCCATATCCAGGATCCCACATCCAGCAGGCCACCTCTGGAAGTTGGTCGGCCCAACAGGACTAGCCAATCGCTTTCCCGCGTCAGCCTGCCAAAAGCCGTACACGCCCCAGCAGCCCGCCAAAACCTAGCCACTCCCCTCTGGCCACAAGGCTCTTCCCTCTTCTTCGTTTAACCTCCACCAACCATCTCCCACTCCAGCCCGCCAAAGCTAAGCCAACCCTTGCACGCCAGATATTCCCCCTCCGCCCATGTCCAACCGCCACCAATCACCCCGCAACACCTCGCCTAAACAGGCCGCCGCCCCTATAAAAACCCTCTCCGGCAGCTGCTGGGTGCAGCTCTTCCCTCTCCCGCTCGAGTTGCCCGCAGATCCCAATAAACCTGGACTCGGCTTAACAACTCCTCGCTCTCATTTGCTTTGGGAAGGGTCTCTGCGGGTCGCACACTTTTCTTGCGATTTTTTTTTTTTGTCGAAATTACAGTTCGTTTTGGTGCGTTCTTCGGTAGCGCTAGTTCTCTGCAAGATTTGCTTAGTGTCTGTTTCATTTCGATTTCTTTTTGTTGGGTAGAAATAGCCCATCCCCCATATCCAGGATCCCACATCCAGCAGGCCGCCTCTGGAAGTTGGTCGGCCCAACAGGACTAGCCAATCGCTTTCCCGCGTCAGCCTGCCAAAAGCCGTACACGCCCCAGCAGCCCGCCAAAACCTAGCCACTCCCCTCTGGCCACAAGGCTCTTCCCTCTTCTTCGTTTAACCTCCACCAACCATCTCCCACTCCAGCCCGCCAAAGCTAAGCCAACCCTTGCACGCCAGATATTCCCCCTCCGCCCATGTCCAACCGCCACCAATCACTCCGCAACACCTCGCCTAAACAGGCCGCCGCCCCTATAAAAACCCTCTCCGGCAGCTGCTGGGTGCAGCTCTTCCCTCTCCCGCTCGAGTTGCCCGCAGATCCCAATAAACCTGGACTCGGCTTAACAACTCCTCGCTCTCATTTGCTTTGGGAAGGGTCTCTGCGGGTCGCACACTTTTCTTGCGATTTTTTTTTTTTGTCGAAATTACAGTTCGTTTTGGTGCGTTCTTCGGTAGCGCTAGTTCTCTGCAAGATTTGCTTAGTGTCTGTTTCATTTCGATTTCTTTTTGTTGGGTAGAAATAGCCCATCCCCCATATCCAGGATCCCACATCCAGCAGGCCGCCTCTGGAAGTTGGTCGGCCCAACAGGACTAGCCAATCGCTTTCCCGCGTCAGCCTGCCAAAAGCCGTACACGCCCCAGCAGCCCGCCAAAACCTAGCCACTCCCCTCTGGCCACAAGGCTCTTCCCTCTTCTTCGTTTAACCTCCACCAACCATCTCCCACTCCAGCCCGCCAAAGCTAAGCCAACCCTTGCACGCCAGATATTCCCCCTCCGCCCATGTCCAACCGCCACCAATCACTCCGCAACACCTCGCCTAAACAGGCCGCCGCCCCTATAAAAACCCTCTCCGGCAGCTGCTGGGTGCAGCTCTTCCCTCTCCCGCTCGAGTTGCCCGCAGATCCCAATAAACCTGGACTCGGCTTAACAACTCCTCGCTCTCATTTGCTTTGGGAAGGGTCTCTGCGGGTCGCACACTTTTCTTGCGATTTTTTTTTTTTTTTGTCGAAATTACAGTTCGTTTTGGTGCGTTCTTCGGTAGCGCTAGTTCTCTGCAAGATTTGCTTAGTGTCTGTTTCATTTCGATTTCTTTTTGTTGGGTAGAAATAGCCCATCCCCCATATCCAGGATCCCACATCCAGCAGGCCGCCTCTGGAAGTTGGTCGGCCCAACAGGACTAGCCAATCGCTTTCCCGCGTCAGCCTGCCAAAAGCCGTACACGCCCCAGCAGCCCGCCAAAACCTAGCCACTCCCCTCTGGCCACAAGGCTCTTCCCTCTTCTTCGTTTAACCTCCACCAACCATCTCCCACTCCAGCCCGCCAAAGCTAAGCCAACCCTTGCACGCCAGATATTCCCCCTCCGCCCATGTCCAACCGCCACCAATCACCCCGCAACACCTCGCCTAAACAGGCCGCCGCCCCTATAAAAACCCTCTCCGGCAGCTGCTGGGTGCAGCTCTTCCCTCTCCCGCTCGAGTTGCCCGCAGATCCCAATAAACCTGGACTCGGCTTAACAACTCCTCGCTCTCATTTGCTTTGGGAAGGGTCTCTGCGGGTCGCACACTTTTCTTGCGATTTTTTTTTTTTTGTCGAAATTACAGTTCGTTTTGGTGCGTTCTTCGGTAGCGCTAGTTCTCTGCAAGATTTGCTTAGTGTCTGTTTCATTTCGATTTCTTTTTGTTGGGTAGAAATAGCCCATCCCCCATATCCAGGATCCCACATCCAGCAGGCCGCCTCTGGAAGTTGGTCGGCCCAACAGGACTAGCCAATCGCTTTCCCGCGTCAGCCTGCCAAAAGCCGTACACGCCCCAGCAGCCCGCCAAAACCCAGCCACTCCCCTCTGGCCACAAGGCTCTTCCCTCTTCTTCGTTTAACCTCCACCAACCATCTCCCACTCCAGCCCGCCAAAGCTAAGCCAACCCTTGCACGCCAGATATTCCCCCTCCGCCCATGTCCAACCGCCACCAATCACTCCGCAACACCTCGCCTAAACAGGCCGCCCCTATAAAAACCCTCTCCGGCAGCTGCTGGGTGCAGCTCTTCCCTCTCCCGCTCGAGTTGCCCGCAGATCCCAATAAACCTGGACTCGGCTTAACAACTCCTCGCTCTCATTTGCTTTGGGAAGGGTCTCTGCGGGTCGCACACTTTTCTTGCGATTTTTTTTTTTTTGTCGAAATTACAGTTCGTTTTGGTGCGTTCTTCGGTAGCGCTAGTTCTCTGCAAGATTTGCTTAGTGTCTGTTTCATTTCGATTTCTTTTTGTTGGGTAGAAATAGCCCATCCCCCATATCCAGGATCCCACATCCAGCAGGCCGCCTCTGGAAGTTGGTCGGCCCAACAGGACTAGCCAATCGCTTTCCCGCGTCAGCCTGCCAAAAGCCGTACACGCCCCAGCAGCCCGCCAAAACCTAGCCACTCCCCTCTGGCCACAAGGCTCTTCCCTCTTCTTCGTTTAACCTCCACCAACCATCTCCCACTCCAGCCCGCCAAAGCTAAGCCAACCCTTGCACGCCACGATATTCCCCCTCCGCCCATGTCCAACCGCCACCAATCACTCCGCAACACCTCGCCTAAACAGGCCGCCGCCCCTATAAAAACCCTCTCCGGCAGCTGCTGGGTGCAGCTCTTCCCTCTCCCGCTCGAGTTGCCCGCAGATCCCAATAAACCTGGACTCGGCTTAACAACTCCTCGCTCTCATTTGCTTTGGGAAGGGTCTCTGCCGGTCGCACACTTTTCTTGCGATTTTTTTTTTTTTTGTCGAAATTACAGTTCGTTTTGGTGCGTTCGGTAGCGCTATTTCTCTGCAAGATTTGCTTAGTGTCTGTTTTATTTCGATTTCTTTTCTTGCGATTTTTTTTTTGGTCGAAATTACAGTTCGTTTTGGTGCGTTCGGTAGCGCTAGTTTTCTGCAAGATTTGCTTAGTGTCTGTTTCATTTCGATTTCTTTTCTTGCGATTTTTTTTTTTGGTCGAAATTACAGTTCGTTTTGGTTCCATGCGCTCTCTACACTGTTACCGTTTTTCTATTGTCTACTAATTTTCGCGCATTTGTTACTATTGAGTTTCCTAGTTTCCGGCTGGCCTCCGCCCATCCGCTCCGGAGGGCATAAATACCCAGGCTCCTGGATATTTGGTCTGCAGAAGGCTCTCGCTCCTGGATCAGCGGAAACATCTGTTTCCTCGTGGTCTGAGGCTTAAGAGATGGAGCAACATTTTCTTGGCTGTGTGAAGCGTGCCTGGGATTCCGCGGAGGCGGCGCCAGAGCCCCAGCCTCCGCCTATTGTGAGGTCAGAAGACTGTGGGCCGTGGCCTCTTCCTTTGTATCCAGTACTGGGAGAGTGCTCTCTGGACAGCGGTGATTCGGGACTGCTTTCCAGTCCTTGCTGGCGGCTACGCTGGATCTACCCACAAAACGCACTCTTTCCCGGAGTCCAGAGCGTCTTGGAACCAAGTACAGCCCAGCCCGCTGAGTTCAGTTGGCCCGGGACACAGAAGCAGCAAGAGGCACTTGTAGAAGAGGTGGACCAGGCAGAGCAATCTGAGAGACTCGCACTCTGGCAACTTCCCTTGCGCAGTCCTCCCCAGCCCTGGGAGAGACTGGAGGACACCGAGGCCTGTGACAGCGGGCGCCTTTCGGAATGCCACCGTCCTCCAGCCTTCCGTTGGTGGTGCCACCTCCCAGGCTTCTCAGACTGCCTGGAGTGGATTTGTCGCATTGGTTGTGCCGCGTTCTCTGTACCCTGGGCGTGTTGCCCACGGATCTGTGGAGCTAAGCAGCCTTAGATAGCGGCAGAAGCCTTTTTGGATTCTCCTCCTTGAAAAGATTCTCAGTTACCAAATGTCTCCACACAGAAAATAAAAATACATTAAGATGTGCCTTCATTGCTGGTTGTCAATTTTTAAATTCTCTTTTGCTGATGAATCTCCCTTCTGTCAGGTCGCTTATTACTTGCAGTTTCCTTATATTTTAAACATTTATATTTATTTTGTTGCATATTTTATTTTTATGTTTCAACTTTGAGAAATTTTATGATTGTAGAATTCTTAGTTTTGACAAATTTAAAATTTATATTTTTCATTTTATAAGTTTTATTCATACTATTTTTCTAGTTATTGCTTCCTAGATGTATTGTCTTTGTTTTCATTAAATTTTATTTCACATATTTTAGGTTATAATTTTTTTAATTTTAATTGTTAAAATAAAAATTTTTTTTGTTTTAACAGCTCGTCTGTGTGTGTGTGTGTGTGTGTGTATAGCAATTCATTATGTTTTACACTCAGGAATTTCATTCGTGGCCATAAGACTGAGGGGTTTATCAATCTTTGCTGTTTCTCATGGAAGGACCATGCAACCATTTATACAACTGCACAGATGATCAGTTCTTAATATTACTTATTCAGACAGGGCAGTGTGGCTCATGCCTGTAATCCCAGAACTTTCAACAGTGGAGGCATGGATTGCTTCAGCTCGGGAGTTTGGGACAAGGCTGGGCAACGGGTGAAACCTGTCTCTGCAGAAAATACAAAAATTACCCATTGTGGTGGTGCATACCTGTAGTCTCAGCTACTTGGGAGGCTGAGGTGGGGGACTGCTTGAGGTCAGGAGGTCGAGGCTACAGTGAGTTGGATAGCGCCAATGCACTCCAACACAGTGAGACCCTGTGTCAAAATAAATAAATAATTTCAAAGATTACTTATTCATGAAGCTCAGGGCTAGCAGTGCTCCTGTGTCTTTTTCTTTGGAATAAATAATTTAGCGTGGTTTATAAGTGAACTACCAATTACTTAATCGTACCACACTTGGATTAGCAATTCCAGTTGGTAGAGCAGGTCAGGGTTGGCCCTGCCTGTTTTGTCTCTCTTTTCGGGAGTGTTTAACCTTCTACACTCAGAAGATGGCCCTGATTGTGGTTTATCTGTATAGGGAGTCCGGATTTAAGCAAAACAAGTATCCGTTTATATCTCCTGCGATACAGAGGCTTAATCCTGCATCAAAATATCTTATTCTTAGCGAGTCCTGGGTTAGGGATTTCTTAGAGTAACAAGTGCATGCTTTGATTCTACGTGACCCGGTGAATTCGATTTCTTAGGCTCTTGTAAGTCCAGATTCTTTGGAAACCAGTACTAGCGCAGCCATGCCTGCGACTTCTTAGTCCCAGTAACTTTCGGTTTCATAATAACATGTCCTGCTTTAGTTATGCCTGAGTTTTAAATATAGAAATCCGGGCATGTCGGTGAAGAAGATTTTCTAGGAGTAGCAAGTACAGGTTTAGTAGTGCCTGCAGTCCCTTTAGAAGTCCCAGTGAGACCAAGCAGATGTTGATATAGGCGTGACAGCGATCTCACAGGTGTGAAACCACACTGTTTAGAAAGGTTTTGCCGGGCGCGGTGGCTCAAGCCTGTAATGCCAGCACTTTGGGAGGCCGAGGCGGGTGGATCACGAGGTTGAGAGATCGAGACCATCCTGGTCAACATGGTGAAACTCCGTCTCTACTAAAACTACAAAAAATTAGTTGGGCATGGTGGCGCGTGCCTGTAATCCCAGCTACTCAGGAGGCTGAGGCAGGAGAATTGCCTGAGCCCAGGAGGCGGAGGTTGCGGTGAGCCGAGATCGCGCCATTGCACTCCAGCCTGGGTAACAAGAGCGAAACTCCATCTCAAAAAAAAAAGAAAGGTTTGGATTTTCTTCTTTGTAGAGTCTGTTTTCTATGTTGTGCTTAGTTTTGAATTTTCATTTGATGAATTTTTTCCAATTTCGGCTCACCGCAACCTCTACCTCCCGCGTTCAAGCGATTCTCCTTGCCTTAGTCTCCTGAGTAGCTGAACCCCGGAGGCGGAGGTTGCGGTGAGCGGAGATCGCGCCACTGCACACTCCAGCCTGGGCGACAGAGGGAGATTCTGTCAAAAGAAAAAAAAAATGGCAAAAATTACAGAGAACCAACCCTACAAAGAAGTAATTACAAACCTTGCTAAAAGATGTAAATCCTACGATTAGGACATCTCTGGCACATATAAAACAGCAAATATTACACCTAAGACTGAATTTCCTACGGAAAACGAAAACAATCAAAAACAACAGAAAGCAGTGGTTAAATCTTTTTAACAACGACTAAAAAATCGCAGTAGCTGGTGTATTCCGATTTGGTCTACAAGAAGTCGCGCTCGGCAGGACTTGCTATTGTCAAACCAAGCTTGGTCATCAGAAATATTGCTTGCCGGAATTTCCTGAGTTCCAGGGGAGTTTAACAAAGAAACAAGCGCCTGTCGCAGTGGCTCACGCCTGTAATCCTAGCGCTTACGGAGGCCTAGGCGGGTGGATCGCTTGAGGTCAGGAGTTCAAGACCAGCCTGGTTAACATGGTGAAACCCCGTCTCTACTAAAACACAAAAATTCGCTGGCATGGTGGTGGGCGCCTGTAATTACCAGCTACTCCGGAGGCTGAGGCAGGAGCATCGCTTGAACCCGGGAGGCAGGGATTGCGGTGAGCCCGGGTCGTGCCACTGTACTCCAGCCTGGGCGACAAAGTGAGACTGTGTCTGAAACAACAACACAAGCATAGCTAACGCGGGACTCGATATTGTGAAACCAAACATGGTATAAGAGCTCCCAGGCACTGCTAAATTGGTCATAGCTAAAACCTAAAACTAAATAAATAAATAAATAAAAATAAATAAAAATAAAAATAGCATTCTCTGATTTCTACAGGGGTTAAACATCTGCGCAGCTAAAGCAGGGCTTACTAGTAGGAAACCGGAACTTGGCAGGACTAAGATCCTTGAGGCAAGGCTAACACCCTGGGTTGTTACGATTTGAAATCCTAGGCTACGGGAAACCCGGAGTTGCTGAGAAATGGGTTACAGGATAACTCCAGTTTTCTACGGCGAAACAGTGACTTCCTACGACCTAGAAATCGCAGCCCGGTGTTTGTCCTAAGTGGGGACTTGCTTGGGCTGAGAAATCACACTGTGGCTCTTCCCGGACTTGGACAGCGGGTAGAAATCGCAGACACTGCGAAATCGAAGCTTGCTACACCAAAAAGCCAACAACACGCGAAACCCGCGTCTGCGTCCTGCTACAGAAACGCTGGCGGCGCAGCCACAAGACCGGGTTCCGGAGGCCGAGACACCGCCCGCGCAGCTCCCAGGTCACCAGCTCCGAGGAGCCGCGGGCTCCCCTAGCCCAGCGCCGCCGCCGCAGGGAACTCCAGCCGCGGCGCGACTGGGGATGCTGCGACTCCGAATTCCGAATTCTTCAGATCGGCCTCCCGAGCGCTGCTGTCACCGAGAAAATGGAGGCACCAAGCAAGGAACCGGGCCTAGACTAGGAGACCCCGGCTCGGCGAAATGGCGGTGCCCGGAGCCTGCGAGCGCAGGCAGCCCGCGGAGTTGTCAAGAACGAACATTCGCTTTGGCTCTACCGACGGTGCTGTCACCAAGAAACAGTCGTCTCTGAGAAAAAAGAGAGGTTCGGCCACCGAGAAACGCCGTGCAACAGGTGCTGCGCTGGCAAAACCGCCGGCTCGGCGCCCTGGCAAAAAACCCGTTGAGAACGCCGGCTGCGGCGACCGCGGCCGGCACGAGACGGCCTCGGACGGAGAACGTGACGCGCAGAGCGAGCAGGGCGGCGTTTTGTTCCGCTCAACTAGCGTCGCCGCCGGCGGAAAGCTGTCAGGCCAGTGCTTAGGAAGTGCTTGGAGAAACTGTGATCGGTGGGAGGAGCGGCGCTGGGCGCTGGACCCTCGACTGTGAGAATCTGGCGGCGCTAGGACGGGTCAAGTGCGGAAGGGAGGCAAACGCCAGCGCTACGGCCAAAGACAAATGCGCGTTCTCTGTGTCTTCAACCGTGCAGCCAGCCACCATTCCCAGGCTCGGAGTAACAAGTGGAGAGGTCAGCCACAAACCCGTTCAGGGAAAGGAGTGTCGCTGCGACGGATCGACTGGCCACTGGGTGCAACTTTCTCTGGTGGCCTAGTGACTAGAAAATAAGAACAAAAACGAAATAAAAAACTGCTGTTGGCATTACTCACATTCTCCTTCCTCAAGTCAGTGCCATTAGGCTTACGAAAACATGTATTTTTCTTGACTGAGCCATGATCGGTGATTGCCGAGGCCCCCAGAGACCGACCAAGTGCGATTCTTGGAGGGGAAGGAGCTGGAATAAGGACCAGGAAGGAACAGGGCGGAGGGGCTCGTCCTGGAAGAAAGCCAAAAGCTGTGCCCCGCTTTTGCTGGGTCGCCAACAGCTTTACACTACAGGAAACTGCTCTTGCCATTGCCGTGGCTGGGTCCTGTCACACCACCCATCGGTCCTACACCCTTGTCTCTGTTCAGAGCCCTCAGGGATTCTAGGGGAGCGAGAATCTCTTACCGCATCTCTTTGGAACGTGGAAACTTTAGGTTCAAGATCTTCGTGGAGAATGAAAGGCCCAGTGTCGCTTGACCCAGGTATGAGGCCTGCCCCGCAGATCCAGTCCCTCCCCTACTGGATGGAACTCTGTGGGAATCGCTCCATATTCTGATGCTTAACTCTGTCAAATATCCTTGATATTTGGGGATAGTAGTTCAAAAAAAAAGTCGGGGAGAAAAGGGGTTGCAAGATTCCAGCGTTGGGTGTAGAATTGACAGAGAGATATACACTTCCTCTCTTAAGCCCAGGGAAAAGCTCAAGTGTGATTCTCTGTCTCTAGGATCATGATTTTTGAAATGCGTCATTGATTAATGTTCTTTCTTCCAGGAAATGCAATGCAGGTGAACTTTGAAGTGCTTTAATCCTCCCTCTCCTCACTTTCAATCAGACTGAGGCCTATTTTTTATCTAATAAGAAATATGAGACTGCCACTGCTCAGTAGGAAAATGTTCTTTCCCACAAGCCTTTATATTACAATAAAAATCTGAACTTTGTAAGGTGAGCCCCTGCAGAGACCTACAGAACCTACCACAAACATCTCCATCCACACTCATCATTTCGAATTTTCACCACTGCTGCTTCTGTGCAAACCAGTAC